TATCCACATGGTCCCCACCATGACCATCGTAGACTTGGGGGGTATCGCATGGCTCTTTCTAGAGCATGTTGTAACAGGGATTTGCTGGTGTACCATAAACAAGCCAAATCCCACAATTCTACCACCCTTAGCCAATGTTCTCTCCTGCATATTTCTTATTTTTCCTGATTTTTCTGATTCCATTTCTAGTCACTAGAGCCCGATGTTTCCCTTTCTTATTGTTCTTTCCTTATTTGTCATTTTCGGATTCTTCCGTGATACCGTGACCAGCTGTATAGTTAGCTAGACAGTGAGGAGCAGTGGAATCCACTCCCAGTTAACAAACCTGTGCATGCGACCACTCCAACCCTCCCCCTCTCTTCTGTCTCGAGTCTAGTGGTGATAGACCCGTTACAACGTCTGGAGGCACCATGGGCTCCCAGAGGAGATCCTCAGCAACAGAGGGAGTGCCTTCATCTCCCGCTTCTCAAAAGAGCTTGCAGACCTTCTAGGCATCAAACTGACCCCTTCGGTGCCCTACCACCCCCAGATGGACGGACAGACTGAGTGGGTCAACCAAGAGATTGAAGCTTACCTCTGGGTGTTCATCAACCATCAACAGGATGACTGGGCGGATTGGCTCCTGCTGGCGGAATTCTCCTACAACAACTGCATCCACTCTTCCACCCACCGAACTCCTTTTGAACTCGACACCAGCCAACACCCCAGGATGGGGACAAAGCCCACATGCACATCTGAGGTGGAAGCCACTGATGCATTCTCGTCAAGGATGATGAAAATGCAGGAGGAGGCGAAGGCTGCACTGGAACATGCAGCGGACAAGATGGCCCGTTACTATGACTGAGACTGTGAAACAGCCCCAAAGTATCAAGAAGGTGACCGAGTCTGGCTCAGTGCCCAAAATTACACAACTGACTGTCCAACCAAAAAGCTGGACCACAAATGGCTTGGCCCCTTCAAGATCGTCAAAGTCGTTTCCCTGGCCACCATCAAACTCCAACTCACCGCGCAACAGAAGGGAATCCACCCGGTCGTATCTGTAATGAACATCAGACCACACCACCTGGACAATATCGCAGAACGACCCACTGACCCCTGCCCAGGTCCGGAACTTGTAGACGGAGAGGAAGAGTATGAGGTCGAGAAGGTATTGGACTCTAAGTGGTTACACCGGAAACTCTGGTATCTGGTAAAGTTCGTTGGTTGGCCAAGCTCAGAGAACCAATGGCTCCAGCAGGACCACTTAGCCCATGCCCCTGACCAGATTGAGGAATTCCACAGGACGCATCCCCTAGCCCCAGGGAGAGAGAGGGAGAACCACCTGGCTGCTTCAAGGCGAAGCGGCTTAAGGAGGGGGTGATGTCAGGGCACACCCACCTGACCCGGGTCCACCCAGGTCCACCTGGCCACACCTCACCTGCTACCCCACTGCCCATCCTTCTCCTTCCTCCTTCCCCCCTCTTTCTTCCCTTCTTTCTTTCTCTTCTCTCTTTCTTCTCTTTTCTTTATTTCATTCTTCCCATCATTCTCTTCCTGTTTATTCCTTCTATTTACATGGACCACTTTCCCTTGCATCAATGTACTATTGACCCATCCAGCCCAGACACCCCAGACGGCTCCCTGCTGTGCCCAGCACATGTGCCTGCAGCGGATGCTCTCGGGATCCCCCACAGGGACACCCAGATGGCTGCGGCTGTCTCCGAGGATGATGTGGCACCTGTCATGTGACTCAAGCCACATGTACATAAATGTACCTGAAGTGGGAACCGCTTCTTCTCACCTTTTCCACTTCAGGTAAGTAGTGTAATTTTCCCTTTTAATAATAATTCACCTTTTCCACTTCAGTATAAGTGGCCAGGGACTGCTGTCCTGCATCGGGCCTGCCAGCACGCATGCCTGCTTCACACCCTGAGAGGGTCCCTTTGCCAGGCGCTACATCCAGGCCCCCTCCACCCTGGATGCGTCCCTGACAGCAAGTCAACAAAGTGGAAGAGACTGTTCAAAGGGGTAGACCACATCATACCAGGTCTTCTTATGGAGAGAGTCATCATTTTCAAGCATCAAGGCAGAGGGTTGTCCAAGAAGTTCACCATAACACAGTCATGGATATCGTTGGGCCATGGATTCCTAGAAGATCGAGGGAAGGGAACAATGACTTGTATTACACTAGCCTGTTGATGCTGTGCAAGCCTTGGTGAGGACCGAATGATCTGAAGAGCGAACATGAAAGTTGGAGAGCTGCATATGAAGCATTTGAACATGTCACACTGGGAATGAAGGAGTTCGCATCAAATGCACAGTACTGTTATGAATGCAAGGATGCAGCAGATAGGGACAGCAGAGAAGAACTATTCCCGATGGAAAGTAGGAAACAACATCAACCTTTGACTGAAGAGAGTGATGTCGAGAAGGATGAAGGAATGGAAGAGGGAGATGGTCAGATACAGTTAGAAGGAAGTGAGGAACAATTGAAGATGTTCATTGCTCAGTGCCAACTTACAGATGAGGTGAGCTTGCATTGAGAACAGAACATAAAGGGACTTACTGTTTGTGACAATAGGTTCTGCATGGATGACAAGCGATCAAAATTGCCAGAAGTGCACGTATTCTTCCCGAAAATATGATACATTGGGAGACAAGAGCAGAAAGAATTCAAGCGGCAATGCATGAGGACATCCAATGTTTCAGTGCTTGGATGAAAACATTAATGTGAAGCACAGCATTGGATACTGTAGCTCCCACAAACCCTATGGAAGAAAGCGTTACTAGTATGGAAGAAGAAGTGCAATACATCCAAGACAACACCAATGACACACTAGAACATACCATTCAACACATTGGAGTACACAAGTGGACATTTCTACCTTTCATGAAGATCAATTACGAGCATACACTATTGTTATGCACCACGTTGAGGCAACTCTTTGAGGAGATGAACAGGAGCAATTGTTGATGATCTTGACAGGTGAAGGAGGTACAGGAAAGTCCCACGTGATACACGCTATTGTGGAGTACTTTCAAAGGAGAGATGCTTTGGATGCATTGGCAATGGGGGCGTATACCGGCATTGCCGCCAGTTTGATTGTGGAAAGACTCTTCACATCCTTTTTGGCTTGACTGCTTATCGGGCTGCAATGCCATCACCAGCGAAAATCCCGAAGCTAGCATCATTCTGGGAGAGAAAAAAATACTAGAGTGCTTGCGCCTCACGCTTCGCTTGACTCTGCACAGCCCATGTTTCCTTTTGCCTGTCCCAGCATGAATCTATTTATATTTTTCTTCAGTTCATTTCACAAATATACTTAGGCTATAAAAATGTGTTTAATTGGAATGCAGACATCCAACAAACATGATCCAATTTTTCCAGTCATTCGGAGTCTGGAATTATATAAAGGCAAAGTGAAAAAGAAGGTGGTATGGCAACAAATCACAGTGGAACCAGCATACACCTTCACGGACTACCGTGTGCAAGGACAGACAATGGAATACCTGTGGTCAGACATAGGGACATCACCAAGCATGTTGACACCTTTTAATGCATGTGTGACATTGTCGCATGCAAGAGGAAGAAAAAGCATATGATTAAACCGAGACTTTAAGGACAAGAGCTGAGTGGGAGTGGAAATGGTGGAAGGAAAGTAAAGGGACAGAAGAGACAGGCGAGATGATGTAAAAGAAAGCATGTAAAGAAAAGGGAACAACCCAAAAGGGAAGATGATGACAAATTTTCAGCGTTGCCAATTGCATAATATCGGGAGTGGTTAGTGACTGTGTGTGCAGAGTAACCTCATCATCAATGAATATTCAATGGTATCTTGTGCGCTTCTTGCTCGAATGTGTCATATCCATCCCCGGCCATCGACTTCCGGTCTCTCCGATCCCTCCGTTCTAACTCCGCTCCCCCCTCACCAACCTCGGAGCCCCCGTATTCCGCAAACCTCTCGGTACCCCTCGATGGTCACCACCCCCTCATTTCAATTTATTACCTACGCCTCCCTAAGTACGGAGCCCTGAAGACTTCCGGACAGCTCCGACGTCCGCTAGCGCACTCCCGCCTCCGCTGGGCAATACACTCACCTGCCCTGCAGAGCCCACCTTCGGGCCTATCCCTCCTTTCCGTTTCTGGGTTAACGCCTGCCTTTCCGCTAACCCCGCGAACCGACTCATTGGTAATATTCAGTCGGCTAATGTCTTAACCCCATTAGCTCCGCTCCGTTCGGCTCCGCCAATTGCGGAACCGTCTCCGCTGTAACCATATATATACACCACTTGTACATAGGTTACGCCCCAGCAGATAAATCAACTAGAGTTACCCCCCCTAGGTTCTAAGTGCCAGTCAGTAAGTTAGGGCACGGACGTGTCACTAGGCACAGCGCTCTTGGCAGAAGTCGCTGAGGCCAAAGCCCTCCGTTACGGAGACATTCCTTCGTCTCAAGTCTGGTCTCTGACAGAATGTCAATCATCCTTTCATTGATCTATTAACACAATCATCCTATGGAAAGCAGTTCAAAGTGTTGGGGAGGAATGAATGTCATCATTTGCGGTGACTTTCATCAATTTAAGCCTGTTGTGCAAAAGACATCAGCACTGCTGTATTGGCCCTGCAATGCCCACATTGACACACCTGAAGAAGTCACTGGGAGTGAGGTGTACCAGGAATTCAAGACAGTCATTTGTCTGACACACCAAATGCACATACAAGACCCTGTATGGACAGAATTCTTGCATTACTGTCAACATGGAAAGTGCATGAAAGATCAAATTTACATGCTACTGTTGCTAACCCAGAAGTGGGACACATAAGCAAATTTTTATTATATTTCCAGCTACAGACCTCAGAATTGAGTCGTTATTTTTTTGAGCGAGAGCTCTGTATCACTTGTATCTACTGGAAAAATACTGGAGATATTCTTTGAGTTGTGGTGGCTGAAGAAAAGTTTTGTGTTGCGAGCTCAAAAACGTGCCGGGAATTTCCGTCACCACATTGTTGGACAGTGCTATCAGAAGCCCCACGCCAGCACCTCTGCTGCCTCTAGCTCCTCATTTGATATCTGGCTGTTGCCTTTCCGATGCACAACTGGTGGAGGAGGTCCCGGGAAAATCGCGGGTGTATTTCCATACATATACTCGACTCCGTCTTCATCCACGACAGGGTTCGGATTTCCATAGCCCATTTGGACTGCTGCAAGACCCTGTGGAGTTGGGAAAATATGTCGATGCTGAGGTGGGGGGTTGACTGGAAGCTCTTCTGGAGGAGCATCTCTAGTCCATGGTCGTTTTGGTGATGTTTCAGGTGTGTTCTCTTTGTCATTGCTGGCGCGCTTTCGCTTGCTTCCCCTCATGTTCCTCGATAGATTCCTTGCAGGATTTTTTGTCCTGGTGACAATTCTAGCTGCCTTCTCAGCAGCCTTTGCTGCGTCCTTTGCAGCCTTTATCATTGCCCTCCGTAGCTGCTTGTCCTGTTTCTTTCTCTCACGCTCTGCCTTTGCAGCTTGTCGTTTGGCTTCGTTCACAGCCTTCTCCACCTCTCTCCTCTGGGCCAGAGCCACCCGTGTGGCCTGCTGCTGTGCAACCTCTTGAGCATGAAGGTGAGTCTTTCGGATCCTTGCCACTTCCTTTGTGCATGTCAGGAGATTGGTCCTGACAGCCAATTCCTGTTCCTTGTCCAGCTGCTCGAGGGCATCTTCCACTGACATATGCCCTGCAGCATCATTAAAAGCCTGGCGAGTCGATTCACTATTCTTCTTTTTAATGTTTATTTGTTCCTTCAGCCATTGCAAGAGGGCTCGCGGCTCTCGATGCTGACTAAGCTTGTGGGGGCCAAACTCTCAAAACTCTACTTTCTCCACTAAACTCGCTACGTTCTCGATCCTTAACTCCATGGTGAGTTCTCCGGGATTCCGCAAGGTCCGGGCTCAACTAATCTACTACCCACTCGTTGTGGGCTAGACAGTTGCCCTTATTCCTACTGTTGGATTCCACACACTTACTCCAACTCTAGCATGTCCTAGCACCTTAGAGAAATTGGGGGAGGGGAGAACTTCTTTTCAAAAATCCGGTATGTACAGGATTATAAGAAATAATTATTTTTAGAAATAATTGATGGTGAATATTGGTACCATATGGCACCTGCATACCTTATTAGGCGAAATAATAAAAAAGGGTAACAGTAACAATAAAAGAATATCAATCAATAACTGAAATGATGCAAAAATATGAAAATATATGAAAATAAGCGATTTCTCAACGGATTTACGGAATTAAGACCCAAAATTGAAAATAAAGCCGGAGATAACTCTCACGCAGCCAATAGGCATTTTTACCAATTTATTAGACGCTGTGGGAATGAGTGAGGCTGGAATTCTGGGTTGCCGCTTGAGATTCCCACGCCCGCACATGCCCGTGACCTGCTGTGCCTAACTTGCCCAACATAGAACTCCATCAATTCTCCACCGATTAGGACGTTCTTGGTATCGTCAGAATCATACTAATTAGCACTATTTTTAGATGTCAAATTCATACTGAGTTGTCACATGAATGAAAGGGGTTTCCTAATCGTGGAAGTGGGTATCCGAGCCGGCTGTGCACATGGGTGATTATCCTGCCTACACTGTGTTAACTGTCTGCCAACAATTACAGCCTGTGCCCATGCTGCCCTCTCAGCTTCATGCAACTCATGATTGTTAGTTTGTGTTAGATACTGATCCGGGGTCGGGCACCGAAGGTCACCGATGCGGACCGCTAAGGGCCGCGATGGCCGCAATGCCTCAGACAAGGCCCGAGGGTAGGGCATTCGGCCTCAGCAACTCTAAAGGGAGTGCTGTGCCCCCTAGTTGTCTCTTGGCCCTCATTTCGAACTTACTGGGGCTGCCTTGTTGGGGTCAGGGCTTGGGGTCGTGGTCAAGTCGATATTAGAGCTGAGGTACTATAATGTAGTATACAGGATATATATATGAAGATAGAATGAATAGAAGCGGACCCGGGCCGAAGGCCGAAGGGTCCGGAAGCAAATAGGAACAACGAGCGGGGTTGGCCGCACAGCGGCCGGCAATGACCGAGGGTCAAAACAAACAATAACAGATAAATAAACGAAGGGGTGTAGGGCCGCGATAGCAGCGATGGTTGTTGAAATCTTGGTTTTCTTGTACGCTGTGGCCAACTCACAATGTGATGTTGAGCTAGCGGCGCTTTATTTCCTTTCTTGGTATTCCTGCTACCAAAGTCAGTGCGCCATTGAGGCGACTGCTTATAAAAGCAGTGAACAAGTTTTCACTTTCGTCTCCCTCAGTTCAACAACGATTGACTGAGGTGAGACTATGCTTTTACCACATGTTGTGTTGTCACTCATGTATCTTCATATGCCCTAGCGTAAAACGCTAGGTAATTAGTTCAAATCTATTAGTTCAACAACGATTGACTGAGCATAAAACGCTAGCGTAAATCGCTAACATCCTAATAGGTTACGAGCCTAGTTCACTCAGAACTCACCCATGTCGCAGACTACCCCCTCCACTTCTCAGCCAGCCCCTGCCCCCACCACTACAGACAATACCCGTTTCCCCATAACTATTCTAGACGCCGATGGTAAAACTTACTCCAACTGGGCATCAAGGATGCGCGGTGTCTTGAAGATAAACCGGATCTGGGATGTCGTAGAAGATGTGTCAAAAGGCGGCACTGAAAGGCCCCCGGACACTGATCCGACCTTAGCTGACTGGCTCGACAAAGATGAGAGAGCATTCACCTACTTGAGGTGCTATGTTAGCGACTCCTGCTTGTCCATGATGAGGAACAAACCTACTGCGCGTGCTGCCTGGAAAGCCCTCTCTGACCGATTTGTCGGAAAGGACGAACAAGACATGCACATGCTTCACTCTTCCCTCTTCCAATTTCACTTTGACGACTCTAAACCACTGGGTCCCCAATTCCAAGAAGTGGAAGACACGCGCCTCAAGGTCACCTCCTTAGGTCTCGAAATTGGAGACAAAAGCTACCTCTCTGCCCTCATCTCCGCCACCCCCGAATCCTACCACACCATCAAAAGCGTTGCCCTCATGCAAATGAAGAGGAACAACATCGATTCCGAAGGGTATATCGATTACGTCCTTTCGGAAGAGAAACTCCGTAATTCTGACCCAAAGACTATTGCCATGTTTGCTAACTCTGGCAAATCCAAACGCCGCAATGCAGGGAAGTCCAGTGGCTCCAAGTCTGACGCCGCCACCCCTAAATCGGTAGTCCGCTGCACTAACCCTAAATGCGGCAACTTGGGACATACGTTCGAACAATGTTGGTCGGAAGGTGGTGGGTCCGAGGGAAAGAAACCGAGGAGGCAGGGGAAACAAGGTCAGAGCTCAGGCGCTCCGAAAGAATCCGCGAAGACGGCAATAACATTTGTGGATGAGGAGAAAGCCTTGGTAACTGAAATGACGGAGGAAGTAGCAAACACACTCAACTCGCTAAACGCGGGGATTACTCCTGATCATCATGCTCGAACTGAGTGGGTGATTGACTCTGGTGCCACTTCTCACTTGTGTCGCAATCGCGACTGGTTTATATCCTATCGCCCTCTTGATGTCCCTAAAAAGGTCGTTTTGGGAGATAAGGATGTGATTTTAGCGCCGGGGATTGGACAGATAAGAGTAGAGTATGACGTCGGGAACTCACAGGAAACCCTCATAATCCGTAACGTCCTCTACTGCCCCAAAATTGCACACAACCTCCTTTCCGTTCTCCAACTAAACCAATCGGGTGCAGGCGCAGACTTCTGGGACCAAAAATGTCGAATTTTCGACTCCTCCAAGAAACTTGTCACCATCGTGCCTGTGGAAAAGGGCCTCTACCGATGGCCAGTGAGAATCCCCTCCTTATCCACAGCCTTCATCACTTACCCCTATACCGACAACGCTAACGTCGCACGCACCATCACCGCTACTGCATCCCTCGACATCTGGCATGCCCGATTGGGGCACATCGCAAAAGATTCGATCTTGAGGATGATGCGGAGTGGAATGGTTAAGGGAATGGATGTTATAGGAGCAAACGACGCTGATCGATCAACTTACTGTCCCGAATGCGAAGCCGCATCTCATCACCGAAACCCCATTCCTTCCGAAACACAAACCCGCTCCGACCAAGTACTTGGTCGTGTATTCTCTGATGTTTGCGAACTGCAAACAGTATTGAGTGAAGGCTACAAATACTTCATTACTTTCGTCGATGACTTCAGTCGGTACCTCACCGTATATCCAATGAAGAACAAATCCGACGCACTCGATAAGTTCAAAGAATTCCTTGCGGAAGCCGAACGTCAAACTGGGAATAAGTTAAAGATTCTCAGGACAGATGGCGGCGGCGAGTACTTCTCTTCCGATTTCTCCAACTATCTCAAATCCCTCGGCATCCTTCACGAAAAGACCAACCCTCGAACGCCTCAGGAAAACGGTGTAGCGGAAAGAGTCAACAGAACCCTTGTGTCAATGAGTGTCGCGATGCTGAAAAGCGTCGAATCCAAAATTGGACGTACCTCTTGGCCATACGCTATCCAACACGCCACGTTCGTAAAGAACGTTTCTCCTCATGCGGCGCTCCCCAACGACATCTCCCCCCACGAAAGGTACACAGGCAACAAGCCAAATGTATCGATGCTACATACCTTCGGGTGCAATGCAACCCTCCATATCCATCGCGACCTCCGACGCAAACTTGACGATCGCTCTAAACCCGGCATCCACCTTGGATTAGCTCGGGGCAAGAAGGCATTTCTTATTTGGGATCCAAAGGCTCGAAAGTTGCACGAGTCGAGAGATGTCCATTTCTTCGAGAGCGACGAGGAGAACTCGGAACGCGTAACGATCGAGGTCGAGTCTCACAACTCCCCGACACACGTAATCGTTCCAGCGGATGAAGATGGAGAGTCGGGAGAAAGAGATGATGATGATGGAGGAGATCTAGAAGAAGGAGAGGAAGATAATGGAGGGACGTCGGAAGTAGGAGAAGCAGAGAATGAAAACTCACCCCCGCTCCAACTTGAACCTGTAGTCCAGGACTCCCTACCCCGCCGCTCAACCAGAATCCGCCACGCGCCCATTCCAGACGACGACCCCCGATATGAGAGATCTTCTTATAATCGGACTCAACCTTCCACTGATTCAGTGAATGTCGCTTGGGCGATGACGGCGAGCATCAAAATACCACGAACGTACAACGAAGCGATGGATCGTCCTGACGCGGACTCATGGTTAGGGGCATGTACCGACGAATTAAACGCACTAAAGGAAACAGGTACTTACCTTCCTGTGCGCAGAGACGAAGTTGATCCCCACAACGTCGTCGGGAGTAAGTGGGTGTTTGCTTTGAAGAAAGGGGCCGATGGTGAAATAGAGCGGTATAAGGCGAGAATAGTGGCGAAGGGATTTAGCCAAATCTACGCGGTAGACTATGAGGAGACGTTTGCACCTGTGGTCAAATGGTCGTCGATCCGAATCCTCCTCGCGTTAGGTGCCCGTCTCGATCTTGAAATACATCAAATGGATGTGAAGACCGCGTTCCTCAACGGGGAATTGGAGCACGAGATTTTTATGCAGCCACCTCCTGGCTCAGCAGACTATGGGAGGAGAGACATCGTATGGAAATTGGAGAAGAGTCTGTACGGCCTTAAACAGGCCTCTCGAGCGTGGTACAAGAAAGCCAAAGT